ATAGGTTCAGCAGTCTAAAAAAAAGAACTACACCTTTAATGCAAATTGCAAAGATGTAGACTAATACTAACACTGAAATCACGAGAATACAATAAATCAAACAGAGCCATATACATATACACATATACACAATGTCCTAGGCTAGTTTACCTAAACATGGCATATGTGCATCAATAAAATATGTTAGGAACTGTTTTTAATTTATTGTATGTTCCATCTACCTGCCCAGGGACTACGGGTAGAAAATAGCAACTTGCTAAAACCCAGTGCAATGCATCTCCTTGTTATATGGAGGGTTAATGTTTTATTGTGCACTGTCCCTGCTCAAATAAAAGAAATAATAATAATACAAAAAAAAGACTTAACCAATAGTGCAGTTTTTTTAACAATATGATGGCGAAGAATACATTTAATAGATAATTTAACAAAATTATAAAAAATAATACATTTACGTGCTGAAATTTTGCAGTTAAAACATTTGAAATAGTTTCAATGTCTTCAAGGTCCAGTGTGTAACATTTAGGAGGATCTATTGGCAGAAATGGAATATAATCATAGTTATGTTTTCATCAGTGTGTAATCACCTGAAAACCAAACACTGGTTCTAGATAGGGCCTTTTGCATTTTTGGAAGTTTTGCAGCCACCGTAGTTTCTCCTACACACTTCAAATGGGTGAGGCCAGGGTGCTGCGATCAGCAACTACACCGCTAGATGCCACTAAATCCTAGATGGGAAGACGCTGCCTTAAAAGCTGAAGTTGAAGAAGTTAAAGAATATTTTCAAGTATCTGATGTTGAAGCACTGAAAGAAGTTGAAGTGGCACTAAAGTTAAAATGACATTTAAAATAGAATTGCAATGAATGGAACTAAAATTGCATAAAATGCAATATACATATAGTACATATACACATATATTATATATGATAAATCTGAAAAATATATTTAGAGATAATAGAAAACACTGCCTTATTGTCTGTGTGGATTCACACATAACTGACCTATGGATACATTGATGCTCTTAGTGAGATTTCCTGTTTTCTATCATTTCTCATGCTGCGCTGCCTCTGACTTTAAACATTGCCACTAGATGGTGCTGTGTAGTGCAACTTTAGGGAGCCTCCTCTGTTATAGGGCTGTGCTTGGATGTGTGGACGGCAGGAACATGCTGCCTGCTTTATTGTTGTTCTTTCCTCTGATTAAATAGAATTATGTCTTTTGATGTATTCTGAGGGGGCTAAGGTGGGTGAAAAGAGTAAAACAATTTTGTCGAATCCCTTCTCTCCTAAAACATAACAACTGCAATCCAGAGGCAATCGGTGCTCTGAGACTGCCTACATGCCTCATCCTCGTGTTTAAAAGCCAGTCTGCTTCTCACTGCAAGACAAGGAACGAGGATGGCCTCCTTTTAAAAAATTGCATTTCCCTCGTTGTCTTTTGTTGTGAAGAAAGAAGATCATGCTATGTCGTCATTTGTCCTCTTTGGTATTTTTGATTTTAGCTATGATTGGGTTGCTCTTTCTGTCTTGTCTCTCTGTCGCATTCTGTCTCTCACTCAGAGCCTTTGAGCGGACTTCTTTCATGCTCCTTAGCAGCAGTCAGAGGGATGGAGATAACAATTTAAATTAAGGAGGCTGGGGAGAGGAGAGGAACTGGGAATTTGTCTGATAGGCTGTTCTCAGAGGGCATCCGGGGTCGATGAACTTCAAATAATCAACTTTTCTTTCAGCCAAATATATCATGTCAACTTCCTGTCTTCTTGCATTCTCTGTCTCTACCCCCCCAATCAAGGGCTCCATTGTATTACCCAGTATCCCTCTCAGTGCTTATGCCTTGATGGGCTGCATACAAGGGAACTCTGCCCTCCCGTGTCCACTCCGGCTACACTTTTCCACACTACTCTGCTGCCCATTGAAGAAGAAACCCAGAGAAGCTGTAGACGAAAAAGAAAGGCTGTGCGAGAGTTGCAATTAGTTGCTCCGCTCACTGCTTTGCTCAGTGATTATAACGCCCCAAAATATTAAGATGATGGTAGCCTTAATTCCCTGCATCTTCTAGCATATTATTACAGTAATTGCTCGTTTATGTACTGCATTGATTTATGGTATGAAACATGGAATTAATTGGAAATGATAATATATTACAGTTTGACTTATACACATACAGATAGTTCAGTCCATCCATATGAGGGATTTATCAAATGAGCACAGAGCCCTCTGTTCTTCCTGTGTATGTAAAGGGTCGGGACACCCAAGATCTATAGTAGATCTAATAGGTCTATAATCTATTCATGCAGATAGTTTTGGTTTTATTTGTCCAGATATTACGCCTTGAGATTTCAGCCTCCAGCCCAATACAATGGAGTTTAATTGTTTCCATTTTTTTGGTACTCACAGCAATGGAAAAACATGGCATTTCTGATTTCACACTGTCAATAGGTTTATAAAGGACTACACTGATCAGCTTTAACATCCTTGGTGGACCCTGGTGTTCATAATGTTCTGCAGCCCCATACTAACAAACTGTGATGCACTGTGTGTTCTGACACCTTTCTATCAGAACCAGCATTAACCTTTCAGCAGTCTGTTGGATCGGACCATGTGGACCAGGTTTCGCTCCCCACATGCATCAATGAGCCTTGGCCCCCCATGAGCCTGTCTCTGGTCCACCACTTTTCCTTCCTTGGACCACTTCAGACCGGGAACACCCCACAAGAGCTGCAGGTTTGGAGATACTCTGACCCAGTCGTCTAGCCATCATAATTTGGCCCTTGTCAAAGTTGCTCAAATCCTCACGCTACCCATTTTTCCTGCTTCTAACACATCAACTTGAGGACAAAATGTTTCCTTGCTGCCTTATATAACCCACCCACTGACAGGTGCCATGATAACCAGATAATCAATGTTATTCACTTCAGCTGTCAGTGCTCATAATGTTATGTCTGATCGGTGTATTTCTTCAGTAGAAAGTAGTTTCATTCACCTCACACAGTGATCTATAAATCATCCATTATAGGTACATTCATTTCTTTTGTGTGATTATTTTAGTCATATAGCATTCATTTGATCCTTTATTTTGAAGCACTGTAAATTCTGTTTTTATATTAACACTCTGATCTAAGTCACCTACAGCCTTTCTGATGTTTGGCATTTGATGACCTCCAAAGAGGATTTGCACACACAAGCGATAGATAATGATAACGCTGTAAATAGACACAGCTGTTTGTAATGGTCGCGCAATTACAGTTGCTCTGGTATTGGAAGAACTCTGGAAGAACAATGCGACACTATTGTTGAAAATGGGCTCCTTCCATTTGCTGTTCCTTTTCATTGGAAGACTATAGGAGCAGGCAGAGGTACTGATATGCAAACAGGTGATTAAAGGCATGTCCTACTATGGGAGCAACCAGTTCCACAGTAATTGAGATATATGAAACACAACCATGGCTGATGAAAAGAATGCATGTGCATGTTTCTATCTTTGTGTGTAGTAACCTTCGTAGATTTTTATGTATCAGGCCCCACTGGTTGGTGAACAGCTGGAGAAAAATCAAGGTCATCTACATCCAATGCCAGAGACCATCCTTAAACAGAGACAAGGGTTACAATCCCCCCCCCATACAACCACCTGTTGTTAGGCAGATGTCAAGGTTAAGAACACACTTTTTTTTTGTATTTTGGGTAAACCAACCCTATAATAGTTGACTTTCAGTGTTACAATATGTCCCTGTCCATACCAACAGTGCAGAAATTATCCCCCTTCATTTAAGTCACAAGAGCATCGATAGAGCAAATACTTGTAAAATAATTTGACCGTTTTAATCGCTCTTCTCTCAGCTCCTTGACATACTCATCTTTTTAAAGGAGACATATTATGCCCCTTTTCAGGTTCATAATTGTATTTTGTGGCTCTTCTACAATAGGTTTAGATGTTTTAATGTTCAAAAAGACATTATTTTTCTCATGCTGCCTATAGCTGAGCGCCTCTTTTCAGCCTCTGTCTGAATTGATCGGTTTTAGCCCGTCTCTTTAAGGCCCCCTCCCGAAAAGCCCAGTCTGCTCTGATTGGTTGGCATTATGACACGGATAACGCTCCGGCCCCTCCCACTTCCACCTCAGCAGGTAGCTCCTCACTGCTATTAAGTTTAGCTGCATTTCTACCGTCAATATTAATTCAATAACTGCTTCTAAACCAAAAACTTCACCAGCGGACATATTAGAGCGGGAGCCAGACCTGAAATCACGGAGAAATGAACAACATCAACAATCAGGCTTACAGCTTTCTGTGACGTGTTCCTCAGGTAAATACTGCTATATATATATATATATATATATATATATATATATAGATATATATATACATATATTAACCTCTATCTATCACATAATGTTAGTGTTTATACCTTAACTATGAGAACCAACACTGTGTTTTATGCCTGTCTTTACAGGTACAGCAGTGAGCAGTGACCTACAGTCTACACAGCCCAGTGAAGTTAAACATATTATATGCCTGCAATACTTTATCCTGTACAACATGTCAACATAACTGAAGGAATTACTCATCTAACAAAGTAACTTGTTTATGTGGTTTAAAAACTGCTAATTAACCAGTTGTACTGTTCTGTATCCATATTTCATAGTCTGATATTTTAATTTGAAAGTATTATTACCAAAGTTAACCTTCAGATATGTGTAAAAGCTGCAATTATGTTTGAACCCCATTAAAAATACTGTGTATACTGAATATTCTATCATTTATATTATTTATTGTGATGTCATTTATCTTCCAACATAATAAAGTTTGAATGTGTGACAGTAATGTATTGTGTTGCTTACAGTCATTTACTACAGGTTTAAATGTCACATTTTCATATTGATAGATGTTACACAAACCAGGTTTTCAACTCTTGTACATCCAGGAAATCTTCATAAAACCTCTGTGAAATAACATGTTATTTATATAAAACCACACTTAGTACTGAATTTAAAAATGACCGAAAGTCTTCTTAAAAGTAAAACACTTTATTTATGTTTCATTCATATTCCAGTTACACATGTTGCAAGTAACAAAGCTATAACTTTTATGTAAACTGTACAGATCATGTATCAAGGTAAATGGTTTCTAGTATACTGAAGTGTGAGATGGTAATGGAGCTCTGCTGTCAGTGTTCATCTTGATGCGTCTTCCTTTGGATACCCAGACTGTCCTGATGCTGCAGCTGTCTCTGTCCTCTGATGGGTCCAGGAACACCTGGGCTTCATCAGGTCACCTGTAAAACAAGGCAGATTCAGTGTTACTTGTAAGGCAGCATATAATATACAGTATAGTATAATACAAGTACAACAGCTCATTGTGGCTCAAAGTAGTCTTAAGTTATAAAATAAAATAATAAAGAAGTGTTTGACTGCAAAAAACAGCCTAGTGAGCGTTGTAGTTACACAATATTACTAAACTAATGAATCCCTGCAGTTTGACTATTTCTCTCTCACAGTAGCTCTATCGTTACCTCCTGTAGTGATGCGCGGGTCTGGGTTTTTTCCAACCCACGGGTCCCGCATTTATTTAATAATTTGACCCGCTCTATCCCGCCCCGCACAACCGCCAACCCAACAGTGTTGTTAAGAAGTAAGACATATTTAATCCTTAATGACCCGCCCCACCCACCCCGCCAATAAAGTTAACATTTCTTGACCCGGCCCGCAGCTAACCCGCGAGTTTACGGGTCGGCCCGCGCATCACTACAACCCAGCCTCTTATTTCAGAAAGAATGAACAGTAACGGTTACCTATAAAAGGTAAGCCTACTACGTCATTGCTTTGAGCCAGTTACTCAAACAGACAAGCCTGTTGACATTTTCAGACAACAAGGAATCCATCCATTTCGGCGTCTCGCGCTCGCCATCCACTCAAAACATAATGTCTGCTGCTCTTAAACAAGTGTGTGTGGCGTGCCAGTTGTTTTGTTTCCGGTCTAGCTAGATCCAGTGTGGTGTTGTAGTTTTTCTAACATTACTAGTTGTCGCAACAGCATGTGAAAAAAACTACAAAGTGTGCTAGGCGTTAATCTTGCGATAAAAAATTGACACCGTTAAAATGGGTTTGCGTTAACGCCGTTAATAACGCATTAAACTGACAGCACTAATAAATTCTTAAAAATACTTAGTTACTTCCTCTGCTGTCTCTCCACAGACCGTTGCTGTGGGAGGAAAAGGGTTAACGGGTGGAGAGGATAAAGGGTCGAGGGATGAGGAGAAGGGGTCGAGGGATGAGGGGGTATGGGAAGGATGGGTGAGGATTGATAGAAAGGGAGGAAGACTGGTTAGGTAGGTCGATGGAGGGAGAAGTTCGTCGAACTGGTCGGATGGAACAGAGTGGGTGCTGAGGTGCTGAGACGCTGAGTGGGGGAGCCGTCTCTTTAACTCTTCAAGAGCCCCAGTGGTTCCTGTGTTTGGATAAGAAAAGGAGAGACAATGACGAAAGATTAAAAAAAAAGAAGAAATGGGGTTAGGGAGGGAGGGATGTAGAATATGAGTCAAGGAGGGAGTGAACGGAAAAGGTGTGCTTAAGTAGGTTTTTTGAGCGGAAATGAGGAGAGTTCGGGGCGTGGTCTCTGTTCCCGAACTTAGTTATGAAACTCCATTTTGTGTTGGGCTGTGCAGCCAATGACTGGACAGTTTGTCTGCTGAAGCCTTTGCCCAGACATTAGGCTGGCAGGCTGCAGGCTGCTGGCTGGGCTCGCTTGCTCTTTCTGTAACAATGGCGGAGCTCCGCTACACAACCAGGAAGTAAACTGCGACGGGTGGCAACATGGAGCCGAAATGACGTCAAAAACTTTGAACATCTGAATTTTCACACTTTGCCTGCTGATAGGCCCTCCAGATTCCCAAATGTACATAAACAATTAAAAAGTTGGTTTTGCATAATATGTCCCCTTTAAGAAGTGAATAACTGGTATCCATCATAGTACATCATGCATTCAGTTATCCACTCAAAAGTGTAAGCGGACGCCTTCCACAGTACATGATTTACTCACTGTGTGAATACTCAGGTCAGACAGCTGATGCCAGGCGACGACGGCTCTCCTAATTGTGGTCTGTCAGCACCAATTTATCCCAGCCGTAACTTCATCGGAGACATCTCTGGCCTGCTCCTGCCCGCCGATCACTGCCTCTCCTCAACCACCGTCAGCTTGCTCATCAACTGAGCCATGTAATAGTTGCATACGGCTTAATGCAAGATGATAGGACTTATTGTTGTCTGCCTTCTTCCGCTGACAAGCACTAGCTCAACGTTAATGGAGGGGCCGGTCCAAGGGAAGTAGAGGCAGGAGGCGCTGCTGGCCCTCACTGCTTTGTCCTTCTGCCAGGAAACAATTTGTCGGGAGGCGTGACAGCTGCAGTCATCCAAAACACAGACACGGGGAATGAGTGACTGCTCATAGGTCACAGTCTCAGAAGGATGGAAGCAAAGCAGATAGACTGATAGACAGAGGGGAAGGGAGGGTAGAGATACTACATGTAGAGAGGAGATACTTGGTTTGATCCTCTCACTAACCACAGTTACGCTTCTGAGAGACTGTCAGATGCGAATCACATCCTTGGAACAGTAATTGGCGAGTCTCCTGAGCTGTTACACTACAGCAAACTTGTTTTGCTGAAAAAGGATGTTGACAGTTGTGATATGTGTCATGTGCTGAAATGGGCTCTCCATTTGAGTAACTGGGCCAGCACAAAACCAGTAATGAGTGTTTCACCCGCGTCCTGTGTGTGTGTGTGTGTGTGTGTGTGTGTGTGTGTGTGTGTGTGTGTGTGTGTGTGTGTGTGTGTGTGTGTGTGTGTGTGTGTGTGTGTGTTCATGTTGTGTCACCTTTGACCCTAACTGGGCTTGGTGAGTGGCACAATCGATTACTGAGCGTCTGAGGAAGCCTAACCATTAATGCATGACCTTTAAACATACTCAATGTTTTGCCCTTTACTGAGCTCTCATCTGGTTATATGCAGACGCAAGACTGAATCTGGCAGCATGCCCATTTCTTATATGCTATATAAAGCAACATTCCAGCTCAAAGAAAGCACGATCATCAATAAGCTAAAGCTGTTTGTTGTGGTGGTCACCTCCAGGACATTATACAGAATTAGGCAGCTTTCATGAGTGTTGTTTTATTTTCTGTCTGGTTTGATTTAAGCTGCTGTCAGTGGCGACAGAGAATAATTCCATATAACTCATGAGTCTCATGAGAATTCAGTGGATACTTGGATGCATGGAGACACTGCATTTTCACACATTCTGAAGTGTGACTAGACAGAGAGTTGCCAACATCGGAGAACATCCTGCTACATATAGCACGCATCAAGTTCAGGCATGTGTCAGTGTACTGTATCAGTGCTGGAAAGCAATCGTAGCCAATAGTGACTGCATGCATGGAAGGCACCATCTGAAATCAAGCAAATCACTGGACTATTATTCCCTCATTATTATTGGACCTATAATGAAACTGATAAAAATACAATGTCGAATGGAATCCTTTCGTAATTGTAATTTTTGTGCACTCCAGTTAACCTTTAATGAATGATGCTTATATTGTTATTTTCCTTAGATTTACAAATAGTGGCTTGGACCGTTGTGTGACTCAACTTCATACCATCAGCCTTATTTAAAACTCAAAGAAGCAGAGTGGTGACTAATATGAGACCTTGTTATTGTTTTGATGAATTTGTACTGTGGAAATGTACATTATGGGGAGTTGAGTCACACCGATTATTCCAACCCTTCTCAACATGGTTCATGCCAGTAACATGTGATTCTGTTTTTACTCATTCATTGCCCTGCCCTCTTAACAACTGTTTTAGACAGTGGTAGACAAAAACATACTGCATGGTAATTAAGCTTCATGAGTTAGCTGACTTTAATGCTTTCATTTAGTGGCAGGGCGCTATTGTAAGCCTACAATCTGATATAGTAGCATCCAAGTCTGGCTCCCACACTGTAGGGAAACCTGTAACCTCACAATAATGTGGTATGAAATGCTCAGTGGTAAAGTAACACTGAGCACTACTGTAGTAACTAACCTAGTAGGCTGGACATGCTAAGCAGAAAAACATACTGGTTAATCCGCTCTTCACACGATTTTTGTGGGATGTTTTGGAGAGGATTAAAAAAACAAACACCATCCAACCCCGTCATATAGAGAGTATCGCTCTCACCACAGCACTATGCACACTGCGTCAACATGTGGAGAAATCCAAAGCTTGACAGGCCTGCTGGGCTGTCAGGGTTGCAGTTTCCATCTTGTCTCTGAACCTTTGCAGCAGGTGAAGTCACTCTGTTTAATTTAGAAGGAGTAAACCGATAAAATTAGATTAGAATTTGAAAAAAAACCCCACTACTCCTTCAGTTATTATCTACTGTAAATATTGAATCCACTAGATACATATTATTGACTCTCGACCGATGGCTTAGTAGTTGTGAAGAATGTTATGCAAGCATGCGTTGTGTTTGGTATTAGACAAGCTTTGCATTAGTTAAGATACATTACAAATCCCACTCTCTTGATTATCTATTTATTCCTTGCTCTGTCTCAGATGTCACTGCCAGGGGATGGAAGATAAACACTATGTGGAGCAGAAAGCAGTGACATGGCTAGCGGCTGGGTTTATTAAAGGTGTTTGGTGTTCGCTTCTCCTCTGTGCCACAGAGACTCTTGTTTGTATTTTAATTGGCTCACCGACAGGTACATGCTGTATAGATTGTTGTGTGTTTTTACTGTGACTTCCCTTAAGTGGCTGTTTGTGTGTTTCTGTGTGCAGTTTATTTGCACGGTTATTGTGGGTCCCTGCAGAAGTTAATGATGTTTGTGGAATGAAAAGCATCTCGTGAAACTCTCCCCAATCACATGCTCATTAAAATTCCCTCTTTACAATGACACCATACCCTCAACTTCTCAACCCCTCCCCTAGTCTTAGTTTCCTTGACTACTTACATTACATAACATGTGAACACTGAGTCCTCCCATCGGTGTGGACCTCATCCTCAAGGAAACCAGTTATATTCTTGTTTGGTTTTGATCTAAAATGTCATACAAATGTTAATTAAATGTTAATCAAACATCTTAAGCACAGTAATATCATCGAGATTGGGATGTGATATATTTAGCTGATTTGTGGCCTATTCTGGACGTCATTCCTCCCTGGAGGTCCCTTTTCCTTTCTCACAATGAGAAGAGAAGTTGAGGATAAGGCAAGGGAGGCTACATGCCGCAGAGACAATATTTTGCCCGCCTAATTAAAATGAATGTCAGCTCTCCCCCCACTGAGAAGTGCATCAATCTCCCCCTGCGATAGGCCCAGAGTGAGTCTTACCCTGTCAGTGCCTGCCAGCAGTGCTATCCTTCTCCAGACATGCCTCGCCCTAGCAGCCAGAGAGGCAGTGGCAATGATGTTTGCACATCTAATGGTTGCCATGTGGATGGCCACCTCAGACAGAGGCCCTACTTCAAATATATAGGAGTTTCTGCCCAGACTTGAATGATTTTCATTTAAAACAGCAGTTGTGTAAAGTGCTCAGTGGTATTTTGGAGCCATTTGAGGCCCGAGCAGCTGCAGCAAATTCAGTTTTAGCCTTCCACTGTTCCACAATGCAAATTACAACTGCAGTAATACAGATACAAAATCCAGTTTTTGGATAATAAACTGACAAAAATGTTGAATTGTTGTATCCATCATTGTGGTAATGCTTTCTTCATGGTGTACTGTTAGAAACTCAACAGTGGCATTTGGCTAAAACATTAGTGTATTTGTTTTCCTTCCTGTGCCCAAAGTCATTAGAGTTTTGTCATTTGCATGTTGGTAATGCAGCAGTCATTTTTGCCCATCCACTTTGTCCCTGGAAAATAGTGTTATTTAACAGATTTATTTCAAATCTGAAGGCAACATACCTGAACATTAAGTTTAGACCTTTAATACCCCATTTATATATAACGTTGAATACACATTTAGAGGAATGTGTATTACTTCCATTAGTAACTCACCTTTCTTCTTATTTTTCTCTGACAAAGTACTGTATATATGTCACGTTAAACTGGTGGAGCCAAACATGCTTGGCTACCGATGCTGCTTAATGTGTTTGCAAAATGTCAAGTCAGATCGCACGTGCCCACCAGATAAATACCTGCAGCCTTTGAGTTTGACAGAACTTTGATGTGTTATACAAACTCATGCATGAAAGATGAAAATATCACGAGGTTAATTTGAGTCTGTATGGATAAGATGCTATGTTGATGGATTTTTATGGAAAAGCCAGTCATTGCTGTATAGTGTGCGCCTAATCTTGCATGTGCACCTAATATCGTTCACTTGCAGCAAGTGATTTGTCATCTTTTGCATTAGCATTATCTTCAGGTAATTTAAATTTTCATCTAAGGGTAATCATCAAGTACCTGAGATAATCATCTGTGGTACTTTATATTACTGTTCTCGGTTAAATGCACCCTTGTTGATGAAGAAGCTACTGATGCTGTTTTCCCAAACCAGACTTTAATAACGTGTATGTCTAAAGGTCTAAAGCTCTCTTTTAGTTTGTTGTACCTTTCTCTACACTGTAAAAAAGTAAACAAGACTTCAAGGGTCTAGCCATTCTTGTGACACTGTGCGGCTGTTATGCCTATTAAAAGAAAGCAATTTATAAAGTGGATAAATGTTGAAGTTTGCTTTTGATCCTTAGCAGTTGTGGAGAAATAAAGGAAAAAAAGGAAAACGGTACTGGTTGTCATGTTAACATGTTTAGGAGGTAGCGCTTCCTTTGTTCAAGATCTTAGTTTAAGGTGTTTAGCGTACTCACATCTTTTGACCTGCTTATCAGCAGTGAACACAAAGTACAGCTCTTCCGATTTTGACCTGATAATGGTGCTTGAGGAGAAAGGAACAGATGTCTGTGTGAAATTTCATGGCATTTCACTCTGTACTGGAAATGTCAACCTGCTGGTGGCACTACAGGAAAAGTCACAGGATCCATGAACATTTGTACCACATTTCATGGCAATCCATTAGTCAAGATACTCCATTCTGAACCAAAGTGGTGGGCTGACCAAGCGGCATAAAAATCCATTAAACCTTGCTAGCATGGCTAGAAACCTCTATCCTGAGCAATTATTTGGTCCTTTTCCTAAAAGCAAGTAAAGAATCTGCCAGTGGGTTTAAAACATTCAATAAGACTATATTCCAGCACGACTTGTTTGAAGAATGTTGCAGAATAAATTGAAATAAGTATTTATCCTGAATTAGAGATTCAATGATTTGTTGTGGTTTCACCCTCCTAGCTATGTGTATCTTCTGTATTAGTCCTCAGGTTTTTTAGCAAAAGAGCAC